CAGACATTCTGATAGAAGAAATAGGTGAGCCAAGATTAGTATTTTTGTTTTATTAAGGGGAACAAAAAGAGTGCCAAGGGGCCAGTAATATATAAAGGATTCGCCTCAGGAAGAGCTTTAACAGTGGATCTCTCAGGCTATAGCGGAAGGAATCAGATCCTCTTCAGGGAAGGGCCAGCAGGCAAAGCGCTCCAGACAAGAGTCTGGGTCTTCTGAATCTGAAGATAACTCTGATGTCCAGTTTTTCTCTGACGAAGAAGAGGAGGAGATAGATCATTCATCAAGATTGCTGGATTCTAGATCCGTGAAGGTGCGCCGGTCCAGCCAGAGATCCCGTCTTTAATAAAATTTAGATTATTCCCTCACCGAGGCTAGAATAATGCCTAATTATGTTAGTCTGAGGTGAACTCCCTGTTGTGCTCTTCCAGACATGGAGACATGGTGTATAAGCTCCCTCCTTTTCCTTAGACAGCACCCTCACACATCATACATCCCTGGATTGCACATCACTCCAAGCCTACATTGTCTAAATAGCACCTGGATCAAGTAAATCCATGCCCAAGTGACATCGGGCTAGGAGTTCCAGCATGTGGCTAGATGATCTCGGCCCTACTTTGGACACAAATCATTCAGTCCCTCTTTTCTGTCTGAATTTCTCTCTTTTCTAGGAGCTCCATATGTCACAATAGTGACCCAAACAGGCAGTGTGTAACCTAAACCAATAAACGTATTACCGGACCTTAGGATGCCCGGTTTTAACGTGATAGAATAGTCGAGGAAATAGCCAAAAGTAAGGGTTACCAGAAAGTAGGATAACGATAAAACTAGCCGAGGTCAGGAAGACAGATAATGGAGAAACGAGAAACCAGTCCAAGTCAGAGTACCAGAGAGGAGAATAGTCAAAAGGGCAAGTCGGGTCAAAAAACGAGGAGACAAACAGAGAAATATACCAAGCACTAGAGGGAACCAAGAAAGGAACCACAATAGGGCACTGATCAAGGAAAAAAGGTGCCCTTTTAAACCAAAGCGTCTTTAGCTTTAACACCACGCCCCCAAAATGTCCAGGAGCCTGGGATGCATTGAACATATATGGTAATTTCCTCCTGGTGTCGGCGCGCATGCGACTTGTCATAAGAGTAGACACGAGAGGAGCGTCCAGCATCCGACAAGCTGTACTGTCGTCTGGAAGTGTTGGAACCCGGAGCTGTACCGCGCGGGTCCAGAGGAGAAAGGTAAGGTATCATGACACCATATTGTTGGTATGTGTAAAACAGAGTTCCACAGCAAATAAAAACACCTTCGTAATATGTCTTTAAACTACAATAAATGTGTTTAGAAATCACTATGTGTTAATAGGATATATCATTCCTTATCTATATTACATTTTAGTTGCATAAATTGCTGTTATGAAATCATCTAAAAATTCTTTAAACAGCCCTGCTCCTGACCACACCTCCACTCAAACCCCCCGAAATTAAAGTGTCCCTCTTTGTTCATTTGAAATGTTGGGAGGTATTTAAAATGCTTTATTTTCATTACAGTTCACCATTTAAAAGTTGACATTTGAATATTGGGATTTTTAAAATTACTCAAGTAAACTGCCTTATCTATGAAAGAACTAATGGCAAGACACAATTTCTTCTTACTCTGAATTACCAGATTACATCATGTTTAACACTAGACTAACTTGTCCCAGCATGTTAGCAAATGTATTACATGTCCTTTATGACTTGTATTACCATCTGACCCAATTTTCTGTTTTATATTTCCCTTCCATTATGGTATAAGTGTTAGACGGAAGTGGTATGTTGACTAAGTGTAAAGCTGAGGCAGTATTATAGCTATTAACATTGCTGTTTCACTTTTTTAATAGTCAATGTGATGTATGACACGTTTATTATAAGTATGCAGTAGGTGTTTTGCTATATCATAGCTGCATACATTGTAGCACAGTTTGGGAGGTGTAAATATGTACAAGCTTTAGAATGTTACTTATCTAAATTGCACATTCCTGGTAATGTGTCAAGGCTAGTTTCCTGTTTACCACCTTGGTACTAGACATAACAGTGCCCAACAAGAATAATCCTTGTGTTTTATGAGAATCAACATTTAGTTAAAAATCTCCTAGTACTCTTATGCCTGATGTCTTTGGTATTTCCCTTTTTAACCCCTTGAGGACTGCGCCAAATGTACACGTTGTGATCAAAACAAAACGTAAACAAAAACTTGAATTTGCGCTGTATGTCTGTCCAACCGTAATTCACCTCTTTTATATTAAGTGCACCCACACGTATTATATATCATTTTATTCAGGGGAAACCAGGCTTTCATTTAACATCAAATATTTAGGTATGAAACATAATTTAATATAAATAAAATTAAAAAATGGGAGAAAATAAGAATTTTAAAACTTTTTTTAGTTCTACGTGACATTTTAACTGTGAATGTCATAATACTGTTTGGTTTTACTGCAATAAAATACACATATTTGTATTCAGCGATGTCTCACATCTAAAACAGTACCCCCTATGTACAGGTTTTATGGTGTTTTGGGAAGTTAACGGGTCAAATATAGCATGTTACATTTTTCATTTTTTTCACAGTGAAATTCGCCAGATTGGTTATGTTGCCTTTGAGAGCGTATGGTAGCCCAGGAATGAAAATTACCCCCATGATGGCATACCATTTGCAATAGTAGACAACCCAAGGTATTGCAAATGGGGTATGTTCAGTCTTTTTTAGTAGCCACTTGGTCACAAACACTGGCCAAAGTTAGTGTTAATATTTGTTTGTGTGTGAAAAATGCAAAAAACTAATTTGAATGTAATTTTGGTCAGTGTTTGTGACTAAGTGGCTACTAAAAAAGATTGGACATACCCCATTTACAATACTTTGGGTTCTCTACTATTGCAAATGGTATGCCATCATGGGGGTAATTTTCATTCCTGGGCTACCATACGGTCTCAAAGGCAACGTAACCAATCTGGCGAATTTCAATGTGAAAAAACTGAAACGCAAGCCTTATATTTGACTCTGTAACTTTTTAAAACGCCATAAAACCTGTACATGAGGGCCACTGTTATACTCAGGAGACTTCGCTGAATGCAAATATTAGTGTTCCAAAACAGTAAAACGTATCACAACAATATCGTCCGTGTAAGTGCCATTTGTGTGTGAAAAATGCAAAAAAAATGTCACTTTCACTGACTATCATCTTTGTAATACATTTTACTGAAGGAGGGGGTCAGTACGGAGGGGAACTCCCTGGGCTGCTCGGTGAGTCGCCACACCACGATACCCAGCGTGGGATCGCCGGCGACCGGGTAAGTACATAGGACAGCTGGGACGTGCTATGCCGCCCCCGGCGTTTAGAGCCAGGTCCCTAAGGATGGCATAGCACACCTGCCGTCCTTAAGGGGTTAAATCCCATACTTCACAGCAGTCAGTGTTTGGCCCCTGACCAAGGTGCATCTAGCACCGAAATGGCTGTCGGGCTCACTTGCTTTTCATTCCTTTTTCTCACTTTCACTTTGCATTATGCACGTTTGATTTTGTATATAATATATAATTTTACCACATGACAGGAGGCTTCATATTTGCATAACTTTCTTTACTTTAAATCTCCAGCAGCACAGATCAAAGTTTAAACCAATCAAAAATAAGTAACATCCCATATATAAGATAGGCCAGTCCCCCAATTCTTCCTCTTTCTTTACTGCTCCACGCAGAGGCACAGGTCAGAGTACTTGCTCCTGATAATACTCTTTTTACATTGTGTTATTGTTGCTGGTATATTGATTATTATTGCTGGTATATTAAATGGAGGCTCTTGGCTGATCTCCGCAAATCTAATGGCTAGAGTAGGACTCACCTTTTGGGGCTTGCCTTGACGGGGCAGATGAGCTTATAGTCAAATGGCCATTGGAATAAAACAAAAGAACCTCCATTTTGTTTAACCCCTTAAGGACACATGACATGTGTGACATGTCATGATTCCCTTTTATTCCAGAAGTTTGGTCCTTACGGGGTTAAATGTACATTTAGGCCAGAGCGCAGGTAACGTTCTCTTTGTTTTTACTATGTATTTTGAGCTGTTGGATACTAAGTTACTGCTGCTGTAAGCGCGTTGCTTTATCTTTGTGTGTGTATATTGCTGGTATATTGAATATTCTTTGATACTTTGCCGGTCATCGGGTTTTCTCACTACTTCTTGGGGTCTTTTTTCCACTTTTGGGATTTATGTTCCTCTTTCTACCTCTTTTCTATAACCTCTCTGGGGTCTCCCATCATCCTCTCACTAACCAACGACAGCGGACGGCTATTGCGCCGCGGCACTTCTCTCACATGGGGACCTTTCCTTCTCTCCTCACACACTAATCGGGGGTCAGTTGCGCAAGCAACAGCTTTCTCCCTCATCTCACTCCCTCATTCGGACCCGCAGGAGTTCTTCCCGCCGGGTCCTCACGTGCGTCAGACATCTTGAATCTCGTAGGACGCGTGTTTCATGGCGGCAATTTTAGATTTCCTGTGCATGCACCCGGTGACGGCAGGAAGCCCAAACTTCCCTGTGACAGATACAGAGAGATCGTTGACATGAGATGCAGACTAACCATAGAGCTGAATTCACTACAAGTTTCAGGTGCTCATTGCTCTTTATCTAACTGTATGTCTATGCATGGAACATGTATGTTAAATGAACATGGATATTAAATGGATACTGTATGGGTTGTAAATATCATATTGTAATCTGTGACTGTACGCCTGGTGTACAGACTACCTGACACAGCTGCATGCAGGGGTGTCCCCTGCTGTCATAACACACCAAACAGCCTTTCCCCAGGCAAAGGCCTATTACTAGAGACTGATCAGGGATATCCCTGCAAGCGGTACCAATTATTATCGAACTTGCTATAGGTACCTCCCTGAGTTGGGGGGCTTAGGGGTTATCCCTTTGGCTATTAAAGCCTCTGACGCTTCCACAAAATTACAAGGGTACTCCCCTTATACTATCCACCATTCAATAAGACCGGTATTTAAACAAGAACCTGCATTACATAGTCTCTAGTGGGGACCAAATAAGATACGTGATACCAGGCTACCCCCAATTGCCCTGCGCTAGGGTCTACCCACCAAGCCTTGCTTAGGCAAGCGTCCTAACCTATACGTCCTTTTCACACACGACGATACTGAGTTATTATGTCGGATTCCCCTTCACAAAGCCAAGACTTCCAGGCGATGATTAACGCTGCCGTGGTAGCATCCATGGAGAAGGTGATAACTAAAATGCTAACGCAAGTTCTGCATGAACCTACTACACAAGCTATGGGGCCGAAACCGCATGACACGGAAGATAATTTAGGCTCGGATGCTCCTTCCAAGGAACTCCACTCCCTGTCAATACGTGCTCAGGCGACAGGGGAGACTCCTGCTAAATGCAATAAGCATGCCACTAGTTCTGTAGTGCTATCCTCGGAGGATGAGGAGACCTACCCTTTAGCGGCTCTAGATGTCCTAGATGAATGGCGTGCAGACGCCACCGAATCATAAGATGAGAATAACTGGCTAGACATACCCACTTCTGACTCTAAATACGTGAAAGAATCATACGGTGGAGAGTCCTTCACCTAAGAAACACTGGACTTCTTCACAGAAGACGACAGGCAGTTTCTGGACACACAGGGCTGTCCTCTCTTTGATCCACGAACAATTTGCCACCTTCAGTCCTCCGAATGGACACTACCACCACACCTGACAAAATTTGTCCACTACTGGCTACGCAAGTCCCTAGAGCGTGGGGTACGCACCCGTATGAGAGCTGAATGCCCACACCCAATTCTGCCAGACAAAATTGCTTTGACACCCGAGTTTGACCAAACAGTCGTGGTATTCATGTCAAGGCCATGACCCTCGTAAAGGGGTGGAGAAAGGCCTCAAGGCAACACAGGACAAACTGCTGGATCTGTTGGGCCCTATCGCAAAAATCCTCTACTTCGCAGATCTGGCCTTATCACAAGGTACCCAACTTGATCCCAGTGCGATCAGAGAATGGGCACAATGCAGCATATGTATGATGGGCAATATCAATGCTGCATTATGTGTGGAAAGAAGCAAGATGACTCTCATCCGAATCGATGCGAAGCTCATCAATATGGCACACAAAGATTTTAGATCGGCTGCAAACGGACAACTATATGGTGACTCTTTTATCGTCGAACTGAAGAAACACGTCTCCTTATTCACCACCCTAAATAAAGCGTAGTCATCACTGAGACAAGTGTTTCACCCACCTCCAGGCCGGGGTATTTTGGGGCAGGCTGGTCGGCAGAGGAGCCAAGACACCAGCCAATTCTGGAATTCAAGCTCCAAGCCAAACCCTCCTTCATCATCGTTCTACCTGACATCAACCTCATGGACACCAAACTACTACAGAGGTGCGGACAGAGCCCGAGGTTACAGAGGAAGAAGACAAGGACATTTTCCCTCCAAAGGTGAGTCCAAACCTCATACCAGTGTCTCTACTTTGACTCCAGACAGGCAACTGTTTCACTCAATTGGACCTCAAAGACGCTTACCTTTCGGTACCAGTGGCTCCATCCTGTGGCAAGTTCCTACACTTCCGAGGGCACGGTCAAACATGCCAATTCATGTGCCTCCTGTTTGGACTCAGCTTGGCCCTGTGGTGTTTTACGAAACTCCTGAAGCCGATCTTGGCCCATCTTCGATCTCTAGGCATAAGATGTATCATCTACTTGGACGATCTGCTACTGTTTTGCGACACACCATCACGACTCAGAACGCAAATGAAATTGGTCATAGACTTCCTTCAATACCTGGGTTTTGTGGTGAATCAAGTCAAGTCCGCGATGATACGCTCTCAAGTAGTCCAATTTCTGGGGTTCGAGATAGACTCAACCTCCTGTACGCTCTGACTGCCGATCAAGAAGACCGCTGCCATGAGGAAAGAAATTCACAAAGTGTTATGCATGGATCACGTTCCATTGCGCCTCCTAGCACGAGTTGTGGGACTCCATTCAGCCTCCATTCAGGCGATATATCTGGGACCACTGCACTACAGAGCCATGCAACATTTGAAAGCATGCTCCTTGCGTTCCAGACTGTCTTGCGATCACTGGATTCCCCTCACAGCTGAAGTTCGGGCGGAACTTCGTTGATGGCTCCTCCACATGCAAGCCTGAAATGTCCTAGAATCCAATGTGCTGGAATCCAATGCCAGCCTATGGGCCTGGGGAGCTCATTGTGCAGGATCCTCTAAAGGCAGTCCCTGGTTGGAAGAAGAAATGGACTTGCACACCAACTGCTTGGAGTTGATAGCGGGCTCCTTTGCCATACGCAGTATTGCCAGTCACATGTCCAACTGCTGCATACTGCTACGCATGGACAACATCTCGGCAGTCCAATATATAAATCACCTGGGAGGAGCTCGATCCCAGGCTCTGGCAGGGGCAACCAAAGACATCTACAGTTTCTGCCTATCCCGCAATATCACGCTGAAAGCGAAATACCTCTGGGAACTTCCAACCTCACAGCGGATTGGTACACCCGACATTGGAGGGACGGCAGTGACTGGCGTCTCAACGAAACGATATTCAATACTCTATTCAATCTCAGGGGTCCACTGATTATGCTTTGGCACAGGTTGCGGACGGCGCCATTGGAGTTATACAGGGACCGGACTCCAGAGTCGCATATTGGCAGCTGCAATGTGAGTGGAGTCTGCTTGTTGGCTAATATTGTTGTTTTTGTTTGTTTTTTTAAACAGGGGCAGGGGTTTAGTAGAGGGAAGGGGTTTAGTAGAGGGAAGGGCAGGGGTTTAGTAGAGGGGGACTGGTATTTAGTATAGGGGAAGGACTGGTGTTTAGTAGATAAGGGTGCTGGGGTTTAGTAGAGGGGGAGGCTGGTTTTTTTTTATACTGTACTTTTTTTTTTTTTTTTTTTTAAACCTACGTTTCTATGACATTTTTTTTTTGCGGCCCACATAAACTTAAACCTTGTTTTTTTGGCCCGTGCTAGCCTTTGAGTTTGACATGCTTGCTCTAGTGGCTGTCTTCCTGACGGCCATTAGAGGCTCTTCCTACTCAGAGCCATCTTAATGCATGGGCACGCTGGGTAGTTGCCCTGGGTACCCACAAACACAGGTAATCCATAGGCTTGCCAACACTTCAGTATATTATTCCAAGAGATTTATTCAGAGCCTTCAACTCCTCTTTATTAAAATGTTTAGGAGGACTAATCACCTCAGTAAACTGTTATCTGTACAAGTCAATTATAAAGCAATTTTCTGCAAAGAAATGTTGCAAATGTTTGTGTTATATACTTGATTAATAGTAAATAATTTATAGTAATTTCGCACTGTGCCATCCTGGTCTGTATTATTTACCAACTGAGTGCCATTATTATGTTGAATTTCTTATATTTCAAACTCAAGGCTCACGTTATATTGTCCAAACGTTTGTGTGGAATAATCTTCTATACAGCATTTTTTTAAATGTTAAACACTGATTTTGTTGGAGGTACTAATAAATGTATGCTTAATTATATCAATTATTTTAACATTTTATTCCGGTAAGTGGTTGTTTAGGAAGGGCCCTAGTGAACTACTTTGCCTGGGGGTCTATAATGCTGTTTAGATGGCCTTGTTCCTACTTGGTAATCAAATGCTCAGACAGAGGAGCACAGCATTTGGTTGAGCATTCGTACCTCTACGAGAAGCAATGGACTAGTGGAGATCTCAAAAATGTCAGCAGATAAACTGACACCTTTGAAGGTGGAGTGGGCAGTTGTAGCGGATAAGTCCTCGCTCTAGAAACTATGTAAGTAATCTCTTTTAAACTTTTTTGGGTTTTTTTTTAAAGCCAAAAGTGGACAAAGGGAGGTGGCAGAAGAAACCCTATAGTCCTGGAATAATATTAGTTATTTTTGGGACAATAGGTTCTCTTTAATGTTACATAGTTACATAGTAATCTAGGTTCCATCAAGTTCACCCTTTAAAATACATTACTTTATACTGTTGAACCAAAAGAAAATATTAAAACCAAATTGTAGAGATTTCCAGTCATATCGTTAAAAAAAGGAAAACATCCTTCCTGACTCCATGATGGCAATCAGATATTTTCTTGGATCCACAACCTGTTCACATACATATTATTATATTAACATCCTTGTATATTCTGTTTTTGCAGAAAAATAAAATTCAGGCTTTTGAAAAATATCTATAGAATCTGATTAAAACCTGTTTAGGTAGAGAATTGGTTCTTAATGTATCGTTCTTCGTGTAAAGATACTTTTCCTCTGCTGTAAGTGAAAACACCTTTCTTTCAATCTAATTTTTTCAGTCTTTTTTGATGGCGGATATCTTTAAATTATATTTTTCTGCTAGTGAACAGGTTAGCACATAACCTGTATATGTTTGTACAGTTCTATCACATGCCCTCCAGGGCACCTTTTTTTCTAAAGAAAACAAATGCAGTTACCTAGACTCTTTACAACTAATGTTTTCCATCCCCAGTACTAATTTTGAAGCTCGCCTCTGTACTTTTTCTAGTTCTGCAATATCTTTCTTTAAAATTGTTGCCCAAATTTGCACCACATCATCAAGATTGTGGTAACATTTTGTGACACAAATTTTATAACTAAGAATATGTATCCTCCTGCTTCAAAGTACTTAGTTTTTCATATGTTAAAGAGCTAAACTCTCTCTCTCTCTCTCTCTCTCTCTCAAGAGAAGAGTTAAAAAGGGAATTGTTGCTCTATAGATATATGTTGTTGGGGTTGTGTTTATATCAGGACCGATCCTAGGGTCACAGACACCTGGTTACCAGCTGGGTGTGGTCATTTTACTAACCCCTCCCCTTTACACATGTTAATTGTGATTGTGAACACAAGGGGGTTCTTGGGTAGTGGCAGTGTTTGTGTGCATGCACAACTGTAATTGTGTGAATTCTTGGATGTATTTGTGTTTAGTGTCAATATATGTATGGAAGGTGCACTCTAAGCACCAGGACCACTGTAGTGGTTATGGTGCAAGGAGTTTAGTGTGCAGTGCTTCTTTAAGAAATTCTTCCATTATGAATAGATCAGATTTGTTTGCCAGGGGGTTTAACACCACTTGTGACATCTGTCAATCAGTTTTCTGAACTGGCATTCCCTAAACAGTGCATTGTATGCGGTAATAGCATGCCGCACACAGAACATAGAATTTGGTCTGGGTCACTAAACAGTGAACTGAACTAAGAAAACCTCCTAAGTTCCATGATGTGGCTGTTTTAGCGTTCGGAGGACTGATTCTGATCATATGGGATGAATGTAACTGCTTTTAGAATTCTACTTC